CCGCAAGGGGGGACCAGTAGCGCCATGAGGTGTGACCACAGGCTTTTCCTTTCTCTTCCAGCCTCAGACCTGTGCTCGAGAGCTGGACCGTTCAACCAGGGTCCAGTCACAGGGCTAGCGCCACAGAGGGAGGAGGGCTGGGCCTCCTGGGCCAGAGCTGAGGGAGTGATTCATTCCTGGGGCCTCCAGCCCTCACATATGCAAAGCAGAGCGAAGGAGATAGGGTCACTGTCTTCTGCCTGGCAGGGTGGGGGCGAGTGCCAGATAAGATAACGCCCTTCCCCTTCCAGCACGTAGCTGTGTGGCTGGTGTGCTGAGGCCCTTCTGGGAGCTGCTATTATCCACAACACAGGGATAATTACAGCCCTATTAAGCAGCCCTAGTGCGTGCCAGGCACACCCGCCTCTCTCTGGAAGGCAGGGGCTGAGAGGCCATCCCTCCCATTTTCCAGGAGAGGAAACTGAGGCCCACCATGAGGACACCCCTGCCTGCGGGCGCACCGTGGGTGGGGCTCCCCGCTGAGTTTGTGACCGAGGACAGGCGTGGGGCGGGCGCTGGGGCCCACTGTGGCCCTGCCGCCTGCTGGCTGTGCGTCCTGGGGAGGACGCTTGACCTCTCTGAGTCTGGCACCACTAGAAAATTCCTAATGGTGACCTTGAACCGGGAGATCCTGAGGCTCCAGTGAGTTATCTGTGAAAAGTGCTTAGACCAGCAGCTGGCAGGAATGAGAGCTCAGGAAGTATCAGCTGGCACGACTGCCCTGTGCAGAGGGACGGAGGGCCCAGCCGAAGGCAGGGGCATCTCAGGCTAGCCGTGCAGCCTTCCAGTCGCCCTTTTCTGGAGCCCTGGGGGAGCAGCTCCCCTCTCCGGAAGGTGAGGTCACGGCCCGGCCTGGATGACCCCCAGAGCCCATGGGCACACGGGCAGCCACCGTGGGGGCCAGGCCCCAGGCCCGGCACGCTTGCTGCCTGCTCCAGACCCCTCTTCGCACTGGGTGTTCTCAGTCGTGCCGGGAGGCTATTTTTACTGCATTCAGCTGACTCCTTGGCTGGCTAGGCTGTCTCCCCGCTAGGGGGAGTCTGGGGCCCCTCCATTTGGAAGGTTCCCCGGGGAGGGTGGGAAGGAGGGGGGGCTCCCTGTGTCTTTGGAGCAGGGACCCAGCCCCCCAGGGACGCAGCCAGACCTTGGCTTCTTACCCCAGGGAGAGGCACAGTGGCTTTCTTTTCTTTCTACTCTGCCCAGGGAGCTTCCCCTGACCTGAGTCGACAGGCAGGGTGGGTGGGGAGGGGTCTGTCCGGGCGGTGGAGGGTCTCCCCAGAGGCGTCCCCAACCTTAGGCAGAGATCCCGGAGGCCTCTTTTCTACAGCGGCCAGGCTGTGCCCAGAAATGAGGTGAGAGGGAGAGGAAGCTCCGAGAAGGAAGGGGGGGGGGCGGAGGGGCCCTAGTCCTGGCACAGAACCTGCTGGTGAAGACCCCAGAAGGGCAAGCCGCTGCCCTGCTCTGCCGGGCACCTGGCAGCAGGTCCAGCTGTGGCCAGGCGGGCTGCGCCTCCCACCGGCCAGGCCGCAGGCACCCTCGGAGGAGGGGTGGCCCCCAGGGATGAATGGCCAGAGTGATGGGTTCCAGAAACGCCAGCCAAGCCGCAGGGCCAGTGGGAAAGGGAAAATCCTCCAGCTCCCCGTTCAGCCACATTATGGCAAACAACCGGCCATTCAGCGGAGCCTCCACGCCAGCAGGCTGCCTGGCATGGCGGCGGCTTTATGTTTCAGCTGTTTTGGCATCAGGTTGGACGTGCTGCATGCAGCCACCCGCCCAGAGTGGATCTCATGTTTTCCTGCCTTACAAGCGTTCCTGTCACCAGGAAATGTCACTAACCTACTTTGAGCCACCCAGACCCAGGGCCAAGAGGCTTGGGTGTCAGTAGCTCCTGGGAGCTGCCTCGGCCCCACGGCGTGGCTACAGCCATTAGAGCTTGGCCTGAGCCCCTCAGGTAGTTCCTTGCAGGCCTCCCAGACAGGCCGGAGTGACCTGCTGGGGCCCGCGGAGGTGAGCAGGTGCTGGCCCTTGGAGCACGCGGTCTCCCTTCCCCTCCCACAGGCGGGCAGCTCCCCAGGCCCGGCCTCTCCAGCCTGGGCTTCAGTCCCCAGGGGCATCTCCCTGAGGGCCAGGCTGAAGCCAGGCCAACGGGAGCCCCCAGCCCCCTCCCCAGGCCTCCCCAGCTGGGCGCCTTCTCCACAGGTGGCTCCCACAGGCAAGCTCCTTTCTGGCACCATCTTCCCCACTTTAGTAGGGGAAGGGGGGCACCCAACAGATTGGGGGGCACCCCTCCCTCTGTACCCTGCCTGTGATTGGCCCATAATTACAGGTTTATTGCCTGTACAGCCATTGTGTAATGACATGTTTGCAAATTAATTTTTATGGCTCCTGCCATTAGCATATACAGTAGAGGAAGGTTTAGTATTAATTACTACTGTTGTTCGAGTAATCCCGGAGAATTAAAAACCAATAAAAGAATGACAACAGAAACTGATAGTTTAGGGGCTTTTAAAAATAGTTTTATTCCTTTCCCCCAACTGGGAGCAGGATTTCCCAAGCTTGGGAGGAGCGGGGGGCGCCCCCCCTCCGGGCCCCAGGGGCCCGGCTTACCAAGTGTGTGGGTGACACACGCGGGAGGTGCGGCGGGGCCGCCGTGGGGGCGCGCGGGTGCCCCGACCTCGCCACAGCCCCGGGCCCCAGGCCACGCTGCCCAGGAGGCGGCTGCTGGCTCCCGCGTTCAGCCGCGCCTCTCCCGTGCTGCTGTTTTCTGCCCCGTCCCGGAGCTGCCCAGGAAAACTGCCGACTTCTGAGTGTGTCCCTCTGCCCTGAGCCAGCTGGGCCCCGCTGGCCAGTCCATGAGCGCGGCGTGCTGTCCCTCCTGCAGGGACCCACGCTGCCGGCCAGCTTTCCCCGGACCCTGGTGACTTC